GCAACATGCGCACCAGCTTGATGCCCCTCTCCATAGCCGGTGAATGTTTGGACTGCTTTGCAACTTGTTTGTGGCTGATGATCGCATGTCCAAAGGGAGTTACATGCCTTGACCACATCTCAGACCATGCCGCTTACTCTTCTACTGTGCTTGCCAGAAATTTCTTGTTTGAAACTGTTATCACCATCTTCTGTACCTAGTGCTAATCATTGACTGTTTGCTTCATACCTGCCCAGGTAGATCATATCAATCACCATCATTTCAATCACTACAACCGATGCTGGCCACCTCGCTACTACTGATGTTGGCCACCTCGCTACTACCGATGCCGGCCACCTCGCTACTACCGATGCCGACCACCTCGCTACTACCGATGCCGGCCACCTCGCTACTACCGATGCCGGCCACCTCGCTACTACCGATGCCGGCCACCTCGCTACTACCGATGCCGGCCACCTCGCTATTACCGATGCCGGCCACCTCGCTACCACCGATGCTGGCCACCTCGCTACCACCGATGCTGGCCACCTCGCTACTACCGATACCGGCCACCTCGCTACTACCGATGCTGGCCACCTCGCTACTACCGATGCCGGCCACCTCGCTACTACCGATGTCAGCCACCTCGCTACTACCGATGCCAGTTTCCGGCCATAACGCTGCTATCGATGCCGGCCACCTTGATGTGATACATGCTGACCACTTCGCTATCACCTATGCCGGATGCTTTGCTACTAGCGGCATCAGCCAAACTTGATACTACCAACGCTGCAAATACTAAATAGCTACTGTAAATTGCTACTACCGGCATTGACTATCGAATCACAACAGCTGTGTGACCAGATCACGACAATAGTGAATACCGATGCTCTCAACACCAGCTATGACATGACTGATCACCGCTTGCATGTCACAATGATGGCGGCACCGTCAACCTCTCCACTCTGCAGATGTCAGTCACACTGTTACTACTGATGAGAAGCGGTCTCTCTTGTCGTGCAGGTTGGATGCAGCATGGCGCTGCCTTCGTCCCCAGCTCTAAAAAAAGGTAAAGCATTTTTCTGGTACCCATTTGTGCGGACTTGGGAGTTAGTTGCATGAACTTGCACGTTGGACCCCGGTTAGCACTAGGCCTGGGATCCCAAGAGGGTAGCTGTACGCTGACTGGAGGGTAACAATTAGAATAGAACACTGAACCCCGATATCATGATTCCGAGTGAGCAGGGAACTACTGGCACTTGCCACATGCATGCTTCTCAGTAGCGTGAAGCCTCCACTGAGTTATCAAAGAAAGCAATGTAAATATTGTTTGAGAGACCCATTCTAGGGAGCATACGCATCTCAGAAGGCCTTTACCCACGGCAACTCTCCTGCCCCTAATATCCTTTCATGGCTCTTGCCGATGGAGATTTGACCCCGGCTGGGATTTGTCGTGATGGCATACACGCAGTCGAATGCGCCTTACACAGATAGACGTGTTGATTGCCCCAGCACACTCCAAGTGTGACATCAAAATTGTACAACTAAAATTGCTGTTCACTAATTCGTAGATGTATTAGCCCGCATGTACAGGTTATCGACACGCCGCTTGGAACGTCGATGAAGGCCACGTCATGGAGTCGCCAGCAGCTTCCCTCCTTTTATTATTTCAATACTCCCTATGAATCAGCAATGAGCAGGGAGCATGAGTTGAGCATGTAAATCTTTGATCATTTCCATTGCATGGAATTTGGCTTTCCAGAGTCTCTTCAAAATGGCCACACACCCATGTCCTTGTCTCATTGCTGACCCAAAAATGGAACGGAACACCTGTCAATGGGGAGGGAAACTTTAAACTCACAAAAATTTTGAAAATAAGATCAAAATTGGGGGCATAAAATGATGTTATGTTATTATACATCTAAAGAAACTTAAAATTCCTAAAATACACACAAAATGGGAAAAAGCAACAGACCTATGCCCAAATTGTTCAGGTTTGGCTGCCATTTTGATTCTGTATGCATTATATGGGCCCCATCTGAATGTATGCACACCATCCAAATGTGTGGTTCCCATTCAAATGTATGGTTGCCATTCAAATGTATGGACACCATTCAAATGTATGGTTACCATTCAAATGTATGGACACCATTCAAATGTGTGGTTCCCATTCAAATGTATGGACTCCATTCAAATGTATGCACCCCATTTAAATGTATGCACGCCATTCAAATGTATGCACGCCATTCAAATGTATGCACGCCATTCAAATGTATGCACGCCATTCAAATGTATGGACTCCATTCAAATGCATGGTTGCCATTCAAATGTACGCACACCATTTAAATGTATGCACACCATTTAAATGTATGCACGCCATTCAAATGTATGGTTACCATTCAAATGTATGGACTCCATTCAAATGTGTGGTTGCCATTCAAATGCATGGTTGCCATTCAAATGCATGGTTGCCATTCAAATGTATGGACTCCATTTAAATGTATGCACGCCATTCAAATGTATGTACGCCATTCAAATGTATGGTTCCCATTGAAATGCATGGTTGCCATTCAAAATGTATCGTTCCCATTCAAATGTATGCACACCATTCAAATGTATTGTTCCCATTCCAATGTATGGACTCCATTCAATTGTATTGTTGCCATTCAAATGCATGGACTCTATTCAAATGTATGGTTCTCATTCACCCACATTTTTCCGGTTTTAAACACATCTCCTAAATAGGGATACAACAGAATCGACCTAACACATGCAGCAGCGTTGGCTAGATGTGGTTAGCTGACACATCAGCGCAGTACAGAGGACCTGAATGTCTGTGCAAGGGTTGTGATATCCGTTGGTACATTAGTGGGAAAGCAGTGCACGTGAGTTATTGACCAACGAAATTACTACTGATTGTAAACAGGGAGAGCAGTGAAGCCTGTCTTGAGACGACCGCTCAAGGAACCTTCAACATGTGGTCTCTGTTACCAAGATGGTCTCCTTATCCAGGGTCACTAGACTAGAAATAGCATCCATTGGTCCTGGTTGTAGTGGTCGCCATATCCGAGTCGTTGCCTTGACAGGTTTTACAAGAGCATAATACCTACTCCCTGACTGTCTTGGCATGCACACTGCCATACCGGATTGTTGTGTAACTACAGGTGACATATCTAATCAATTCGTGCGTCGTTGTCAGCGTGTAAACGAAGCACTGCTTGCCTTGAGTCAACAACACGGAATTCACGAGCTACGATAGTTCTTACTACGTACGACGTTGCATGTTGCTTGTACATTTACAATCACGTACAAGTTGTGTCACAATGCAATGCATACCAATTTATTTCACTACATGTATTACCCGTAACACATCAATTCTTACTTCGTAGGTGTTTAGGTCCGATCTTGCGTGACGGAGATAGTTAGCTTTCTCCATAATTGATTCTAAGAAACACGGACATTGATTCTAGCTTCGAACTGTTTTTTCTTTGTCTGCCTGTGCATTTTGTTCTCAAACAAATCCTTCGTTCAATGTTTTACTATTTTCGCGCTCCGCTTTGTTTCCTTTTCTTTGTCAAGTCCATTACTGACGTATGACTTGTGTACGCACTTATCACGTGACCGTTTGACTGCATGCGCTATGCACGCTCTAGGCATAGGCATTTGAGCAATCATAGGCATTTGAGCAATCGTAGCGATCCGCTTTCCTTGCCGTTTTCGTCTTCTCCGCTTCTTTACTCAGTGTCGCTGCACTAGTTTGTTTTGCAGTTTTCCACGTCGCAGTCGTTCATGGTCGCCATCTTTACATTTGATTTTGATGCGCAGCTGCATGCTGATGCAGCTGCCTTTTCCATGTGTGCATGATCATCTTTCCTATTTATACTGAATTTTCTTTATGTATTCTCTCACCCGCGTTTGCAACGGTTGTCGGTTGTAGCATGCCAAGGGTTGGATGCAGGGGTGGTTAGGATAGCTTAGTAACATGCCGAGGGTTGGATGCAGGGGTGGTTAGGAGGATAGCTTAGTAACATGCCGAGGGTTGGATGCAGGGGTGGTTAGGAGGATAGCTTAGTAACATGCCGAGGGTTGGATGCAGGGGTGGTTAGGAGGATAGCTTAGTAACAATTCAGTAACCGGATAAGGTGTGATGGATCATTTCTGTTTCACTGCATCACGTGTGTTGCCACTACCAGTTCTATATTGCCATTGTATAAGAAGGGACTTCTACATTCATTTCTTTTCTATGGGCCAGGCGCATGGCACGCTGCCGTCATTACATCATGCAGCCGCACTGCGGAAAATCAAACACCACACTTTCCCCTGTATCCCCTCTTATGTAACGATGGAGAAAACATCAAGTGCGGAGGACTACTGCATGGGTGGCTGGTTAAAACCTGAGCAGGCAGTAGATCACAGACGTTGACACCTCCGGCACAAGCACCTGTCCTAGCATTATTAGTGCCTCGTGCCTCTCATGACGCCTTTCACGCATGCCCGCAGCTCCATGATCATTGTCAAGAGTTCCCAACCCCAAGGCATGACTGGCAACTCTGCAATCGGGGTCTGACGCCAACTAGGCCCTGGCGCCATTATTTATCCGCCACGGATTGCAGCTTCCATGCATACAAACACTGCTACCTTTGAACCTGTGTGTGGAATCATTGTCCCTAAACCATAAAGGCAAATCCTTAAGGAGTAAACTGAAATTAATTTAGCTTGAACACCCTGAATCCAGAACAAGACCTCCATATTTTATCCGAATGTTCTACAGGAGAGCCATGCGTCCAAGAACGTTGTTTTCGACGGAACTTCTTATTTTTAGGCAACCTGGCTGCGTTCTTATAGCACGTTCTTAGAAACAGTCCGTACTGGATCATATGTATCCCACAAGCTGCCAGAAAACCAACACCGCCATTCTTATCTTGAGGCTGTGGCGTTCTTAGCATTTTGGGCTCCAAGTTCTTCGGCACGCGACTCTACTGTAGCTATCCAGCACCAGAAGACACACACACACACTGGAGTAGGTCCGAAACACTTGGAGTAAAACGAAAACTTGAATCAGCGGGATTCTACCATATTTGCATGACAATATGGTAATGATGGTGAACTCATCCATAAAGAAGAAATAGAATACTTGTATATAAAATAGGATGTTGCGACTTCGGCAGTAATACGTGAACAGGTGTCTGCTCTCAATGTTGGAGCTCGCGCTCCAGTCGCCCGGAAGTGCGAGCTCCAACATTCAGAGCACTTTCTTCACATAAATAATAACTTCCCGCAGAGAATCCACCGTTCCTGGCTAAGAGCAGTAGTACTACTGCATGGCTTCTTTGTACAACTGCTGCTGCATAGCTGGTACTGTAGCGGATGAGCAAGCACATTCCGTTCCACAAGTGCCTGTGATCACGTGTTCCATTGTGATCAATACCTACTGTCCATACAACCTAGTGTCTATATACCTACTGTGCCCCATTTCTATTGTGTTCAAATCACGTGGCCTACATTATTGTAATAACTGCTGGCTAATATTATTTTTGATGGGTAACGATCTCAACAAATTCCTAAAACCTAAAAAGAGGACAGAAAAGTCCAAGTCCATGAGCGAATCAGTACGCGTATGGGTCAGCAATTCTTCCCTGGCGTGTGCACAGTATAAGCACACTCCCTGCACCTACTGAGCGCTGGTTTGAGTTGAGAATTACACCCTCTGGAACATGAGTGGGGACTGACCAGAGGACTGTGCAAGCCGAACGCAGGTAGAGGAGGAATGTGCACAAAGCTGATGTATTACCTGTTCAACTAACCATCATCGTCCGTCTCCAGTCCAATGAAATACAGGAGGCGGAGTGCGGGCATACACTCCTGTTGCAGTGGATCGGGAGGGGAGATGAAGTAGCCGCCAGGTAGTCACTTAGTACCCGTCCGGGTAGCCACCCTTGCGAGTGTCACATGCTGCTGCAATGCCTGTCGGCGTCTTCACAATGCCTTGCACAACAGCCAGTGATGATGCCTGCACACACGCGCGCACACACACGCGCACACACACACACACGCACACGCGCACACACGCACACGCGCACACGCGCAGGACAGATAAAGAGAGAGAGAGAAATCCCCGCAGGGTTCAGCCAGACAAGTCGCTGCACACCAAACCATACACGTGTGAAGTTTCACAAACGCAGTGCCATGGCTGCTCAGTTTTTTTCAGCGCTTTTCTTGTACTGTTCATTATAAGACGAAATATTTCGCACTTGCGCGTAGTGATTTTATTAGTTGGTTTGTGTAGATTCACTTGCACACATACATGCATCCAAGTTCTTATCAACACATCAACACAAAGGATTTCTGGACCCGAGAGTGTGCACACACACATTTGCCCTCGACCTGAGCTCATTGTGTTCGAGCCAATGTGGACGCTCCCCCCACACACACACGCGTTCACAGTGGAGGGATGTGTGTCTGTCCAAATTGGACTGCCGGGAACAATTTTAATTGGACCGGTCACACCATTGTCTTTTAGTATTATGACAGGGCAGGTAAACATGACCTCCCGAGCAGTAAACACACGCCGCTAGTCAAAACCTTGGGCCGGCAATGACCTGACCAACCGGATCACTTTCGGCGGGCCTGCTTAGTGATGCAAAAGCCCTGGCAGGCTACAAAGCTGCAAGCCAGCACTCACTCACCTCCTTGATGTCATGACCAATAGCGCGCAGACCCTCCAGCACGGTCTCGCTGAACCCTCGACTTCTCTCCACCTCCAGCACATTGGGCATGAGCTGGTGATGGAAGCGAGCACGCTCAATCGCCTCGCCGATAGACATGCCAAGAAATCGCTGATTGAATATCACCTGCAACCCAGGACAGAACAGAAAAAAGAGAGTAAAATGAGTAGAGTGTGAGTTAATATGCAAATTCACAGTTATTACGGACGTTAAGCAATGCGGGTTTTACTCCCGCACTGCTCGGTAGAGTTGCCCATGAGGCAGGGCCAATATATAACAAGCCCATACAGGCTCGCATATGGCATCGCTTGTCTAGGCCGCACTTCCGCACGAATCACTCCTGATTGACAGCAGTCAATGGCGGGGCAAGTGAAAGCGGGTGGGAGGGGGCAGGTGGGGCATGAAGGAGGGATATGAAGGACACATGTTTGGCAGTACACACCTGAGAGACGGCACTGATGATGATACTGCCACCAGAAGCACCCACCACCATTCGCATCGTACCTGCAGCAAGGGAACAGTGCGATAAACAACAGAACACAGTGACTGCAGGTACCGGTACGCACACCACCACAACTGCCTGATCACATGCACATATCTATACCATGATGATCCAACTAGAGTTGTACAATGTGAAATCCGCTCCAAAGTGTATGCTTGGAATCTGGCCGTGTAAATACGCAACCAAGTAGACTCCCATACACATCTAGAGTGGACTGATTCCCCGCGGGTGAAACCTGGGGACACGTAACAGCTGCATGTCGACTCATTCGGGGATTAAAGCCTTCGTGCGAACCGATAGCATCTTCATCTCAGGCTGACTTGTGTCATGAAGGGATGAGCGGGCAAGCACATATACACACTGGCCAACAAGAGCTAACAACACAGTCAGGCAAATAACTGGTACCGGATTTTCCGGAGTATAAGCCGCATTTTAAACATCAGCAATTCACCTGGCGCCAGGCGCGAACTGATGGTGGTGGTGGTGAGAAGGAGAGCTCTGTGCCAGAACTTTGCAGCCTAGAGAGCGTGTGTGGGCAGGCGTGTGTTTACCGCCATATTGCCAGGTGTGTCTTTACCACCATATTTATCAACCATAAGTACAGCTGCAGTGGTGTCTTCAATTTCATTCTCCCGAGCAATTCACCTGGAAAAAAAAAAGCCGGGGCGGCTTATACTATGATAGTCAAATTACCCATGATTTAACAGGGTAGATGTCTGTATTTCGAGACAAAAATCTGGGTACAGCTTAGACTTCAGTGCGGCTTACACTCCGGAAAATACAGTACATACTTATGACAGACTTCCGTCACCATCACCACTAGCTAACTACTGCGTCAAAAAGACGTACCATTTCGTGCCACGATAATGGTGGGCGACATGGACGACATTGGTCGCTTTCTGGGAGCAATGAAGTTTGATGGCGATGGTGGGTAGCCGTACGCATTGCTGGTGTTTGGGGAGGAGAAGTCATCCATCTCGTTGTTATAGATAATACCCAGCGATGGCGAGCGAATTTTGGATCCAAAACTGAACACAACCAGTCAGAGCAAGAGAACACGACAATCTGATTAGCACCAGCACAGCAGCCAGTTCAGCTGAGCCAGACTCGCAAGGACCACGTTTCATTCAGCCAGTCATGCATTGGCAGTGAAGTAGGCAAAACGTAGTGTGAATAGTGTAACGAATGAATTGAAGTTTTAGGCCTGAAAAATAAGTGAAAATCACTGAAAATGATACTGTTAAATGGCCCTGGTTCGAGTCCTGGTGGTGGCAGTCATCTTTTTCTTCAGACCTTTCCCGTTTGCATCTTTCCCTCAAACCAGTGAATATTAAATGGCCTACTGTATAATTAGTACAGTGCACACTGTACAAATGACTCCATCAGTCATTTTAGGCAACGTGAGAAACAGAAGCATGACAACATCATGACACAGCCACGACAGGCGTACACCCATGTGGCTGGGCATACAGTATATGGTGCACAGAGAACAAGCACAAGGAATTATAGAGCCACTGCAATCATGAACGGAATTGTCCCCGGCAACTTATACTATACAGTATACACAGGGTTCAGAGGAAGGACATCACACAAATCAGCACATGGCTATCTCTACTCCAGAGTTTCTTGCTTCTACGCAATCATCCGGAGTCTCGATCTTCTTCCACTGTACTGTACGTGTGTGTGTGTGTGTGTGTGTGTGTGTGTGTGTGTGTGTGTGTGTGTGTGTGTGTGTGTGTGTGTGTGTGTGTGTGTGTGTGTGTGTGTGTGTGTGTGTGAGTTGAGGCTCTGGAGTGCTGACCATAATGCACCAGCATTCAGCATTCCGACCTGTTGCCAAGGCAACCGACAGCACAACTCACTAGGTATTGATGGTGGTGGTGACCGCTACAGCGTCACCGTTAGCCGCTAGCACAGACAAGTGCGACGTGCCGGTCTGCGACGGCCCGGCATCCCACCAGTTGACGTAGTGGTCGGGCTCAAACGTGGCGTTGTCACGAATAGCTTCAAACATCTGCTGCACCACGGCTGGATTGGTGATGTTCTCCAACGTCTGGAACACCATAGGAAACAACAATACATGAAGAGGTGAAACCAAAATCGTCAGCACTCAGTGAAGTTCAAGCTCATGGAGAATAGGCTATATCTGGATATGCGGGTGCTGTGCAGCCCCAAACACACACAATACTACAATGCAGTGTGTGCTGAGCACATCCAGTACTCGCAAGACTACAAACGCAGTCGGTCATGCTATAGCAATGCTCGTAAATGTTACTATGCAGCACTTCCCAGCTTGTCGAACATCATGCAAACTATTCTGGGTAAATGGCGAAAGAAAAAAAAGAAAAAAGGACATTTGACTGCGCAAATCACTTGAAATCAGTGCAACATTGGAGCCCCCCCCCCCCTTCCCACCACACCCACACATAGTTATCTCAGTCCTAAACCTACCTCGTTGACAATCGGGTCGAATGCAGGGTCGCCGAGTGACAGACGCTGCCCGTACGCAAACTTCATGGCTTCAACGAGCCTCTGATAGTCTGTCAGCGAACCATCCCAGCCGGACGTGTTGTAGTCTGTGCCAAGGCGAACGCAATGCACAAACACACACACACACACACACACACACACACACATGCATACGCACGCACGCACACACGCACGCGCACGCACACACACACACACACACATACACACACACACACACACACACCACACCACACACACCGACACACAATGCAAACACAACACAAAACATGACACCGGATGTCTGCCTTCAGTACACACAGGTAACACACAGCAGTGAAGTTCCTATCTGGACCCCGAGAATGTAACAAACACACTCATAGGTTACTCAAGCATTGCATGATTGCATACAGAAATAGTGTTGGTCATAATGGCTTCATTGCGTAGCCAGTATCAGCTGAAATTTTGACAAGAGCAAGAGAAAAGACAGCTGCATGCACGAGCCCTAAAAGTGCATGCTGAAACTACTAGCATGCAAATTAGCGGGCAGAGCATGAAGCTATCCAGAACGGAGCACATTCTGCTTGGAATGCTCTGTACAAACCAAAATACTCGGCACAGAAAACAAACTGTTCACAGTCCTGAAAGGGAACTATGGTCTTCGAATACCTATGATAACATTGTGTATGCATTTACAATTCTCTGTTGTTCAATGTATACGTTAATGATTTGGCATCTTTGGATCATACGTCACTCTACATGGACGATACGGCGCTCCATACAACCGAGCCAGGCTTATTAGAAGCCTGCGACTCACTACAGTATCACATTAATCAAGTTGTGCACTGGATGGCGGAGTGGAAACTCTGCCCCAAAGTGTCGAAAACGGCAATCCCTTGTATCCTTCCACGACCCTCCAGTGACCTCACCCCCCCCCCCCCCCCTTACGACTCAACTTTTACTTTCCCTGACGATCGATCCCATTGCTATCAACATAGTTAAAAATCACAAACACCTTGGTATATTTCTTGATGAACACTTGTCCTGGGATTCGTAACATATATTGAAAAGCGAGTTTGCTCCGCTATAGGCTGCATTTCTTCTCACATTTCCCATCTGCACCATGGTTGTCGAATACAAATTTATCACTCTTTATGTTCTTCCTGTGTTTGATTACTGCTCTCTCGTCTGGTCCTCCGGTCCATTCTCTGCTCTTATGCATCGGTTAGAAGTCACGCACCATAAATTGCTTTGATTAATATTTCGTATGCCCCCTCTAACCTCCTCTCAGACGCTATACATTTTGGCTTCCTTTTCCCCTCTCTCAGAACGCTTTCCCCACTCGGCATGCAGACTCATTCACCGTATTTTAAAAGCTTTTAAACTTGCTCCTCCAGATGCACTTGCGCATTTAAGCTGGTTCAATAATAGCTTGCCTACTAGATGTTCTCTCCAGTTCCCACTTGCCAGATCATCAATCCTTTTAAAATCCCCTCTATTCAAGTCCTAGTCTCATTGGTCTCGGCTTCCGCAGGAGGTAAAGTCTCGTGACACCTATGCTGCATTTTTGTTCCATTTTGCCCATGCCTACCTAAGTTCAATTGACGACGGTTTCGTTGTTTTTCATTGCTAGCCTAATCTGCATACTGCTCTCTCCAGGTTCCTTTAGTACTCTTTTGTTTTGTTTTCATTGATCTATTTTCTCCTTCTTTTTCTCAGTTTCCCCACCATGGCTGTTTAAAATCGCCCGCATCATATGTTTATTGGCATTATGTCATCGTGATTGTTGAATAATAACAATAATATAAAAAAATCCGTTACAAAGTGGTACCGAAACCCTGTGAGAATGTCCAGGCGTATTGAGGCGTTTGTGAAGCCCTATCGTGGTAGCGGCGATGATTTCGAGGCCTTCTGGTCTAAATGTTTAGTATCAGCGAAACTCCAGAAGTGGAGTTCGGACACAGACAAGATGAACAACTTACTGTTGTTTCTGGAGAGCAAGGCCTACCTGGTGTGGGACGAGCTTTCGTCATCCGACAAAGCTGACCCGGCTGTGGTGAAAGCAACTTTGAAGAGTGCATTTAGTACGACGCCTGCTGCGTCTTTCCAGAAATTTCGTGCGCGCACGTTGCAGACTGATGAGAGCGTAGAAGGGTACGCTACAGATTTGAAGAAACTGCTAGTTGGTGCTGGCCAGAAGGTCGTGAGCGATGGCAAGGACCGTGTAATCATCGAGCAGTTCGTTGCTGGCTTGCCCTGGGAGTTTCAACGCCAGTTGCGAATAACTTGGTCTATAGAGTCTGTATTTGTCTGCATTGAGTATGTTCGTCGCTTGCAGAGCGCGGAGGGTACGTCTCGTCCGACAGAGCCGGTTGGCGCTGCGGATGCTAGCTCCCAAAGCAGCCAGAATGTTTTATGTTTTAACTGTAAACACGCTGGACATATTTCCCGCAATTGTCCCGCAAACCGGAGTTCTGGCAGCAGCAAAAGTCGTGGACATGGTGGTGGACGGCCAGCTTTGACCTGTTTCTTCTGCGATGAGACAGGTCACGCGAAGCCAAACTGTCCGGAATATAAGAAGTGGTGCCAGTTCCGCCAGCAGCCTGACAAGTCCTGGCGTGCAAAGGAGTCTGAAGTGCAGCCCGCAGCACCTGAGCGCAAGCCTGATCCCTGCCTCTGTGTGCCTGATGCGCATGCATGCTCTTTGCCGCGTCTCCATGTTGATATTGCTGTGGGAGAACAGTCCACCCGCCCTAAGGCAGTCGTTGACACCGGCGTCAGCCGCAACCTGGTGAGCCGGCAGCTGGTGGAGGCCCCGAACGTGGATG